ATGAAATATTAAGTGTTAAAGTAACCCACATAAACTAAGAATTATGGAAGAATTTGATTTTCCAAACACTTATCCCACATAAGAAAGTTAGGAAACTTTGGTGTGGTTTATAAGGTGGAAGTTTGGAATTGGGTTTGGGCCCCAAGGGGTACCAATAGTCTTTGGAAGGGGGAAGACCTATATCCTATTGGGATCGATCATAAACCCACACACGCGCGCCGCCGTCGCCGTCCGTCCGAACGGACACGGGCACGTGCTCGTTCGGTGCGGGTGCAGGTACGAGTGCATCTTTACACTATATTAACTTTTTAGACAAAATTTATTTAAAATTTTGGGCCAAATTGTAAATAATCAAATTCTTGGGTGCAATATGTAATTTAAATTTTGACTTATTCCGGGTGTTCTATTTTCTTTTAACAGTCGACTGTTTCGACTGTTTACCGACCAAACAGTCAACTGTTTACCGACCAAACAGTCGACTGTTAGCCGACTGTTAACCGACTTAACAGACACGACTTTTAGGAACAGCATGTCTGTTTGGATTTTTGAAGCTTGTCTGAAAGGTGATAACTGTTCGAATGGCCACGAACAAGTCTATAAATAGCCAGTCTTTCTACCAGAAAATTCATACCATTTTCATTGCAAACTTTCTGTGCTTTGAATCTCATTTCCCTCTCTCTCGTTCTGATATTGTCTCGAAATAAAACACACTTCGTTGAGTTCGTTGGAACTCCTGCAGATTGTAGTGCTGCTTCCGTAGGAGACAAAAATTCGTTCTATTCTGGGAACCGATTGCTGGACGCCTTTAGCACCATTGAAGGCAGCAAATTCGTTTTAAGGAAACATCATGAAGTCGGTGGGCTCGAATTACAATTTTGGATCCTGTTGATCAATTATTACATTCAGGTGATTCTATCGGATTGTTTTCGAAGGAGTAACTTCAAACTCCAGAAACAACAGTTGTATGTTCTCTTGGCATTATGAATTAATGGAATAATTTGGTGGCTTTCTGGGGGGAGAGAATATTTCTGATATGCATTTAATATAATTCAACAATATAACTAGTATAATTTGATTTTCAATCATGTTACAAGTACCGAAAATTTTAACAGAAAATTTTGACAGAGGACACATGATGTGAAATCATTGGAAGATGGAAAAAAAACATAAAAAACTGGGGAATCGGGTTCTGCCGCATCAGCATCTGTACGAGTTCGATAAGAAATTCCCCGTACTCGAGGCTTTTTCCTTTGATTTTATATTTATTTTTTTGAGTAATTCTATTTACTTACTGAAGAACAAGTGGGGGCTGTACTGGATTTATCTAGTTTGATTGATGATACCTTGATTGAGGAGGAAGGTCAACTTCTTTGTGCTATGCCGACTAAAATGTAAGTAAAAGAGGCTCTCTTTGCAATTCCCATGGATAGCTCCCCTAGGCCGGATGGCTTCGGATCAAGTTTTTTATATGAAATGTTGGGATATTGTCAAAAAGGAAGTGATCGAAGTTGAACAAGATTTTTGGAGGAGGAGAGCTTACTCGGAATTACACATCCTCTCATATTATCTTCATTCTGAAGGCAGAGAAACCAACTGGTTTTGATAAATTTAGACCTATTATAAGTTTGTGCTTTGTAATCTATAAGATTTTTTCAAAAAACTTGGTGTCTCAGATGGCAACCTTACTTTCTAGAATTATTTCATCTGAGCAAGGGGCTTTCATTGCTGGAAGAAGCATTTTTGAAAATGTCATTCTTACACAAGAGTTAATACAGACTGTGAATAAAAAGGGGGGAGGTGGGTAATGGGATGGTTAAGGTGGATACCGGCGAAGGCTTATGATATGGTGGGTTGGCGTTTCTTGAAGCACGTTTTACAGACTTTTGGCTTCCCAAAAAGATTTTGTTGATTGATTGACCAGTGCATAACAAAATCGTATTCAATTATAATGAATGGCATCACTCAAAGTTTTTCAAGTGTATATGTTAGCAAGGTGACCACTCTCTCCTTATCTTTTCATTATTATGCAGGAATCTTTGACTAGGTTGCTGAAGAAGAGCTTTGATACTGGACAAATTGGGGGTTCTTCTCATCCTCGAGGTGCTCCTTTGGTTTCTCACCTTATGTACGCGGATAATCTTGTCATATTCACTAATGGGTGTAAAAAGTCGATGAAAGGATCAATGGAGGTGTTAAATATGTATGAAGATTGGTCTAGGTAGCTTATTAACAAAGAAAAGTCAGCCAACTTTCCTCTAAAACTTATTCTTTGGTGTAGAAAAGTGATATGTAGCTTATTAACAAAGAAAATCAGCTACTTTTTCTCTAAAACTTGTTCTTTGGTGTAGAAAAGCAATATCATGCGGGAGACAGTTTTAAAGAGGGCCAATTTCCTATGTTGTACTTGGGGGTGCCGGTTGTGCAAGAAAGGCTAAGTGCTCGTGATGCAACAACGAACGAACTAAAAGTCTGTTCAAGGCGAAATATTAAGACTTAGTAGAATTTGATTTTATTTAGATTATAATAGTTTGATTTTCGCAGTGTTATCTTTTATTTCAAGTTTATCTAGATAGGAAGTTTATTTAAGCTTAAAGTCCCTCTCTGTATAAAGGGACTTATGGCAATATTTACAAGCACACCACAAATATAGGAATAAAACTATTTTCTTGCCCTAGATTCTTCTCTTTGAACCCCTTTTTTCTTCAATTCTTATTGTTCATTATCAAGTTGATACGTTTTCTTGCATCAATTTGGTATCAAAGCAATTCGTTTTCCTTTGACCTAACATCCTTCACTCTTAAATTTTAAAAAAAAAAAATTAAAAATTAAAAATTAAAAATTAAAATTAAAATTAAATCCACCAACTGTTTTCTTATTTCCAGCCCTTAACTCAACCACAATACCACCATACAACTAACTTCACACACATGCACACACACACACATATATTAAAAAAAATTAAACTTAGAATAGCACAAAAGCAAAAGGAATAATCTCAGCAATAGCAGTAGTCCTTTTTGGCTTCAACAAGAAAAAATTACTGTTCATCGTACTATTTGGATTACTGTTCATGCCCGAATATCAGTCTTGAATTTATTTTTCCAGCACTTGGAGAGAGAGGGAGATCTGCTTTCATTGAAGGATGCAACAACAAAAAAACTAAAAGTCTATTGAATGAGAAAGACTTAGACTTAGTAGAATTTGAGTTTATTTTAGTTATAGTAGTTTGATTTTCACAGTGTTGTCTTTTATTTCAAGTTTGTTTAGATAGGAAGTTTATTTAATTTTGAAGTCCTTCTCTATATAAAGGGACTTGGGGCAATGTTTACAAACACGCCTCAAATATATGAATAAAACTATTTCCTCGCCCTAGATTCTTCTTTTTGAACCCCTTTCTTCTTCAATTCTTATTGTTCATTATCAAGTTGATACGTTTTCCTGCGACAACTTGACATTTAGAGTCTCTAGTTGGTAAAATTCAGGAAAAAAAATTGCTGGTTGGAAGATGCTTTTACTGTCACAAGTTGGAAAGGTTAGTGCTTCTTTGTCACGTCCTTTCTAGTATAGCCTTTCATTTATTATTGGTGTTGAGTATTCCCAAATCTGCGTTTGGAGGACGAGGAAAAAATGTTGTTTGTGGGACAAATTGTGTCAGCCTATGTTGGCGGGGAGTTTGGTATACAAAAAATTTATGATGTTTGACGAGTTGTACACATTAATTTTGCTTGGCATTTTATATCTTCAGATTCATTGTGGCAAGATTTTTTAGAGCAAAACACTCTAAACAGGGGATTTTGGATATAACTAATTTAAATTTTATTGGGACTCATTTCTAGAGGTCAGTAAGAGATTGTCATCTTGAGTTTATTGAACACGGTCAATGGAAGATAAGGGATGGTCCTTGCTCTTCTGGTTTGACAAATGGATAGAGGGGGCCATCTATGTGCACAAGTAGCCCACGTTGTAGAACCAAAGCTGAAAATTAATGAATTTGTTTACAAAATGGATGGGATATGGTTTGGCTGAGAGACCTTGTTGGTGTCACTTTGGCTAATGAACTTGTATCTCAGGTTGGAACTTGAAAAATGGGAACTGATTTGTTGATTTGGAAACCACATAAACTTGGTTATTTATTGCAAAATTTGCTTAGGAGGTGGTGACGGTGCGAGTTGAGCAACTTGCGAGGGCGGCCTAGGTGTGGAATGATGCTCTACCTAAATGTATTTCTGTGTTGATGTGGAAAGCCCTAAATGGGAGTTTTTGTGTTGAAGAACACATCAAGTCAGTGGGCATTATTAATCTTGCATCCAAATGTGATTGTTGCTCTATAGATCATGGGGAAAATGCTTCACACGTTCCAAGCTCGAGACTTTGAAGACAAGGTGTGGAGAAAAGTTGCTGCCTTGGTGGGTGAGTGCTGGAGGGCAGGACAAAATTGGGTGGAAAGAATCAATTTATGGTAGACAACAGCAAGAAGATCTTCACAGATTGGATGCTTGATTGGTTTGCTTCCAAGTTTGATTACTTGGAGGTTATGGACAAGAAGATGTAAAGCAAGGATGGAGGGTAAGCTTGAATCCGAAGCGGTTACCAAAAATAATGTGGAGGGAAAAGATTAAATAAAAAAGTTGATTGTGTTTGAAACTGACAAATAATAGAGTGTATAAATCTTTATGTACATGTAGCAAGGTCCTATTCAGTATCGTACCATCTACATTTTCAAACAAATTAAAAAGGTTTATTCATAAGTACAGTTTTTCCGAATTAAGTGCATTATTTCAGTAAGATTATCAAGTGAAACTTTGGTAAATTTTCATTGTTTTGTTTGCATTTTGCGCCTATGAATGATTAAATACAGAAGTACATTAAATAAAAATGATGTAGAAGAATGGTGATTGTATTTGAAAAGGATATTTTAAAACAGTATATTATTAATTTGTGAAATGATCACGCTAGTGTTGATTAAATTATGAATATTTTCAAACTAATAAATAAAACCATTAAGCATGCTGAGAGACTGATGAATGTGTCTTAAACTCTTAACAAACATAAGCATTCAATGCAGATACATTAAATATGCATTTTAAACCAATAAGAACAGAAAGACACAAATGCTGATACAATATTATGATATGATAAGATGTGATTATGCATAAGACTAGTAACAGCTAACAATTGCCTCAATCTTCAGTTTCCTGGTATTTCTGGAGGATTTCAGGGCAGCTAGCCAAAGGTTCATTCTTGAGGAATCCCATGGCATTGGCGAAACGAGCATTCGAGTTCATGCCATTGTTGCGGGTAAGAATGACACGCGCACGACCAGAGCTCGGAATGTTGCATTCAGGGTCTGAACTCTTTACTAACACTGCCTCGCATATGTCATCCTCACGGTCGTCCTGCACCAAGATGTTGTAGGATCCGGTCGAGTCTGTCACACTCTCCACCATATAGGTGATTTGCGAAGTGTCACGGGTTCTGCACTCCAGTTTAACACGGGCACCTGCAAAGCACCAGTAGTTTACAATGATGGTCGACCCGATTTTTACCTGTCCGTCTAGGTATTATAACAATAAGAATGTAATACCCTAGTCGCTCATCTTGATTAGGTGGATTGAATCGCAATAGACAATATTAAGGAACAAGCTAAGCTCGAAGATTCATCCATACCTACTCACTCACTTGGAAAGATGAACTATTCCAAAGCTGCAGGATTAATCTAAAATCTTGTCACGTCCAATATCTTCTAGTATCCCCCGTCAAATATATTTTAGTTCACGTTGTTTTGGACTAATGGAACCCATTTATAACCGTTTTGATTGGTGATTTGTGTCATTACAAAAAACCTTAATGAAAATACAAACATAAAACTAATCAAGGTTTCAAGTACAATGTTCAGTCCTATGATTATCTTTCCTAGCCACTTAAACTAGATCTGACAAACTATGAAACAGATCGTGCATTTGTATTTTACATACAAAATACATAGAAAATCAAAAAACAAGTAAAAACACAATTCAGATTAGAGTAATTCAGCCTCAATGTGAGAGCAAAGTCCAATCACAAAAGTCGATAACTAGTCTCTACACATCCAATGTAACAACATATCGATACTGTACCCGGGAGGTATTTGGTGGCAGAAGTCTCAAACCCGCACCGACAAGTGTCACAATAGACTCGACCCTTTACGATCAACGGGTTGCTCATAATTCGGGCAGCACTGGCAATTGCCGGCAGCAAACAGAGAGCAAAAAACACTAGCAATTTTGCCATTTTTCTTGAATTAAAGACTGCTCTTTCTTCTTCTTCTTCTTCTTCTTCGATCTGTATAGGCAGGCAAAAAGCAATGGACTTAAAGTAGTGTCCCGTAGAGTTATGAAAAAGGAAAGCGTGTTAGGGACAATCATTTTCAATAATTTCAGTGGGTGGGGGATCCACCTGTTCTTTATATCACTAAAACATATCAATTAGGACGCTGATTAAGGATTAAAGGATAAACGCTTATTCAAGATTCAAGATTTTCCAAAAAAAAAATTTAATTAATTTTATTTTTAAAAGAAATTAAAATTAGTTAACACAATTTATTTCAGAATAATGTTATTCGTAATGAAAACTGCCAGTAATCGTTCTATGTGGCATACACTTGACAATTTAATATTTGATACATAAATGTGATAGTTATTTTTTGAATTATACATCAAATGAAAAATTGCCAATTGTACACCACCTAAGGCGACTACCGGTAGTTTTCACTGCAAATAGCATTATTCTTTATTTCACCATTGCGTTCAACCTATCATTATACGTACATAAAGATTCAAAGAAATAAAAGTTTAGTTTGGGATCAAAATTTCAAAGTTTATAGATAAAGCAAATTAAATTCTTCAAAATTAAATAATTCTTCATAATTACGTGGAATTTTTTTTTTCTTTTTTTTTTCTAATTCTTTTGTTCAAATCCAATTATTTTTTTTTTTATTCTTTTGTTCAAATCCAATTATGTTTGTTAGGTTTGGCAAAAAAAAGAAAAAAAGGGAGAGTAATATTCATGTTAGTGTAGGACATGGCTCATAAGCCATGGACTTATTCACCAAACATGTTATTCAATTTGGCTCCTATGAATGCAAAACTCAATATAATCGAACAAGATACATGCACACGGGCAGTATAAAAAGAGATTATCGTGACTTATTTAGTAACAAGAATTACACAGCAGGAAATGATGTTAAAGAAGAAAAGAAACTAAAATCTTATCAACTGTAACATCCAGTACAAAATATATCATCAATGTGAAACGAGAATGAATTCCGTTGGATTCATCGGTCGTACTGTTAACATAATAATGCAACTTCTGAATCTTGCAATAATTATACAACAAAATTCCCAAATATTCTGGCCTTAAGCAGGAACAGCAGGGCTTAGTGATATCAGTGCTTTCTTGATTCTTTCTACTGCTGCCTGCAGAGTCGAAAGAGATGCTGCGTAGGAGATACGGATACAGGTATCGTCCCCAAATGCATCCCCTGGAACAAGTGCAACCTACGAAAAACAAAAGCAATTTGTACCGCAAAAATATTGACAAAACTTTATTTCTCCTTCAAGTTTTTCAGCCAAAAGACGAATTTGTTACGACTAGAATCAGACTTTTCATGAATGCTGTGTTTGGCCAAGTTTAAGGTTTACATACAAGTAAATAAGTTCTAAAATAAAATTTTGTGGGTCAATGTAAGAAATAAGAAACATTTAAAGTAACATATCCCAACATGTCTTAAAAGTAAAAACATTTAGCCCCTATTTGGCCCCCATTACGTGGAAAAATTAATGAGTGGAATAGTATTTTTCTGAAAAATGAGTGGTTGAAAAAGAAGAAAAAATTTTCGATTTACATGGAATATTATTTTATGGAAGATTGTGTTGTTGAAATTAGGTAAGAGAAAGATGAAATGTAATGGAATGAAAATTAATGGGGGCCAAACGGGGGCTCAAATAAAAGTGTTGCTTACACCTAAGACTAGCCAATCATATTCGCATCCTAAACAGTAGACATTTTCTTGAACTGAAAATTGCTAAGGTTTTGATGTGGTACCATCTCAAACAGTGGAGGAAGTGAAAAAAGAGCAGCTATTTAGGAATTGTGATGTCCTCAATCACTATCAACTACAATTCTATAAAATGTAATTATCTTGTGATCTCAGATTAATTACTGTTCTTTCCACACATGAAAAGTAATTTATGAAAATGTAACGATTTTCAAGTCAAGTTTCATCATTGAAAGTGCATGAAACTCTTACTTGAGCCTCATCGAGCAAATATCGACAAAGAGACTCTGAACCATCAATCACTCCAAAGCCATCAATCTCCTTTTCATAGTAAGAACTGAAATCAAGGAATACATAGAAAGCTCCCTGCAAGAAGGCTCCAAAATGTTGGAAATCAAGACTTATTCCTAATCCCAAGTGCAATATTAAGCAAGTAGAAATCAAAATGCAAAGAAAACATATAGGAGCTGTTTGAGCCCCATTTTTCCAAAAAAAATAAAAATAAAAATAAAAAAAATGGTTTTGTGATGGTGATTTTTTGGAGAATGTGTTTAGAAGGTAAGAAAAAGTTTTAAGGTTTATATGCAAGATTATTTTATTGGGAGAATGTCTAGTTGAATATGAGTTTGGGAAAAAATAAATTTTTAGAGAATGAGGATCAAACATGGGCTTATGGTCGTTCACCATCTATATGAGAGCTATGTGTCCACTCTCCGCTGCATGTTTTCACAAAATTGAGAAGAAGTTTACAGTAGAGATCTAGTGCCTCCCAATCTTTATCTCTAAAAAAATGCCCATCAAATTCCTTTATATATAGTAGGAAATTAGGGTGGCCAAATAATATGAATGCCCAATAGGGATAAGTGAATAGCAAAATGAGCTCCAGACAGTCCGACACCAAGATGTCAGAGCTCAATCTCAAATACAAGAAGATGAGGAAGGATGAAAGAGAAAACCTGTTTGTAACTCAAAAAAAATGTAGAAATGCCCATCTCTTTTTCCCCTGTTTCAGATCCAGAGAATAGTTATGAAAACAAATCACATTGTTACCTGAGGCTCGGAAATTTTGACGCCCCCCATTTCACCAAAGCTTTTAACCAAAAAATCTCTCCGCTCACGAAATGCCTTTACCATAGTTGAGACAGCTTCTCCACCAGCATATCCCAGTCCTAGAGCAGCAACTGCTGCTTTTTGAGATATACTGCTGGCACCTGAAGTGAACTGTAAAGATAAAACACTAGTCTTATTAACTTCGTAAGTCAGTAAGAATACTGGTTTCATAAGAACAATAGCTTTCAAATGATGCAACAGCACATACATACTGCAATCTATAATGATCCACAAACAAATATTGGTGATAATACGTAGATAAGCCATAACACAAGACGTCATGTATCGGAAAAGAACTCTCTTATTTCATAGTCAATTTTATCCAGCTCTGGTTCATAAGCTAGTAAGATTGATTGATACCTAGCTACAGAACTGTATTTATAAAACAGGGAATTGAAGTATTCTTTACAGCTGATTGGAACTACCTACATGTAAAGTGATCTTGAACATTTACATAACCTGCAACAAGTTTTTTGTTATGTAGTGGGCCTAATTATTGTCGTTGGAAAGCGGAAGGAAGCCCCCCATCTTGTGGTGTGGGAGCGAAGTTCGTGGACAAAATTTCATTAAGGATAGTTTAGAAATTTCACTTGTAATTTCAGCTTGCTATAATTCTTTTTATAAATAAAGAGCCGTATTATGGTGTCATCCTCAGCAAAAAGAGAGAGGTTCAGAGAAAATTGAGTGTGCAAATTTTTTCTTGTAAACTTATTTTCATTATATTGAATTATTGCAGTAGCAAATAAGGATGTATTCTTACACTAAAATGAATTTCTATAAATCTTGCATGTTCTTTTGTGTCTTTATTTTCTTACTGCGATTTTATTGCTATTGGTAATATAGAATTAGGATTTCTAATTCTCAACAGTTTCCAATTTCTTAATCCTCGGTAAGACCATCTATTCTTCAATGTGTTGTGCATATTCAAGACCTCAAAGATTAACAAGTGCAAAATAAGTGACCGCCAGAAATTTAATTTTTTGGAGGAATATTGAAGATTAAATCTTTTGACTGAAGAATTCCCCGAAGCTTTAGCCCCATTTGGCCCCCATTAAATTTCATTCTATTACATTTCATTTTTCTTTCTCCTATTTTCAACCACGCAGTCTTTCATAAGATAATAGTACACGTAAATCAAAAACTTTCCCTACTTTTTCAACTACTCATTTTCAAAAAAAATTATTCCACCCATTTTCATTTCCAAAAGATGAGGGCCAAACGGGGGCTTTAATAAGTGGATACTAGATTACTTTGATATAGCTTAAGCTATTTTATTAAAGGGCAATAGAGAATACTCAATAAGTCCATGATAACAATATTTTCTCATTATAAGACAGAGAAAATCCTTTATCTTTTTACCGTAGGCAACATATAAAATAACAAGGCACTCCTAGGTAGTGTTACATGACCAAAGAATTTACGAGTAAAAAAAATACAAAAAAGGAGGGAGCTTGGTTTATACCATAATCATAAAACCCGGCTCGGACCAGCTGGTCGGCCAGAAAACCAGTGACCTTCGCCCCTGTTCTAGCCAGGTAGAACATTTTCATAAAGATGCAACTGACTCTGTCAAAAACCGAGTTGACCGAGTTAACCAGCGACTTTTATAATAACTCGGCCAGTTGACTGGTTTGACCAAGGTTTAAAAGTTTGTCCATAAATTTTTTGTTCTCAAAAGACTTGAACCTTAGACCTCTAGGTAAAGCGAGTACAACCTAACCACTAGAGATTAATTGTTTATTGTTATGTGTTTGAAATAATGATGTACATGTAAATCATTTATAGTTTGTTAAAAATATTTTTAAAAAATTATAGTAACTATTTTGATTAAAATGAATTGAATATTTAACAAAATAATATATAAATAATTAGTGACAGGTAATTTAACTTTTCCTTTTGTTTTATCTAAAAGAAAAACTTTATACTTTAAAAAATATTTTATAATTATTAAGCATTGACCGACCAGTCTAGCCACTAACCTACCGATTCGACCAGTAATCCGAGACCCAATGCCTTGACCGGGTCGATGATCAGATCGGGATTAATAACTATGGGTTATACAAAAAATTAGTCCATGTTCCATTAACGTAGAAAGATACCTGACTTTGGATCTTCCCACAAGCAGCAACAAAGTGCTTTGGACCAGCAAGATATCCAAGCCTCCATCCAGTCATAGCAAAGGCCTGTGGAAATCACATAATTATTAAGGTAGACAACAATAGATCATTGTTAAGGTGATGGTATTCAGCCTAAAGAAATCATCCGAGGATCATAAAGAAAGGAAAAGGATATGTTGAACAATTTAATAAAAGTACGAAAACATTTATTTATTTATAAGTAATTTTCTAAGCGCCCCCTCAAATGTAGGCTGGATTCATCTTTTATCAAATGCATAACATGTGCACAGTTTTCATTGATGGATGGTGGCAAGACTGGGACAACGGACCTTTGGCTGCTCAAATACCATGTCGAGTAGATTCCAAGTTACCGATTCTAGGACTAGTTCTTTAAAGAAATGAAGTACAAATACCTTGGAAAAACCATTGACAGTCAGTGTCCTATCCCACATGCCCGGCAAAGATGCGAAGCTTGTATGAGTTGCAGGTGCATAAATAATATGTTCATAAATTTCATCTGACAGCACCTGAAAGAGAGAGCCAAAAAAGTTGAAGATAGAAAATAAAACTGATCAATCGTGTATCAAAATGCAGTTATTTAACCAAATAAAAAGATTTAGGAAACCTACCAGAAGTCTTGGATGACGTGCTACAACATGAGCAATCTCTTCGAGCAATTTACGGGGATAAACAGATCCTGTTGGGTTGGATGGAGAGCAAAGAATCAACAGCCTTGATTTCTCACTGAGCTTAGATTCAAGAAGCTTTGGATCCAGAAGAAAATTTTCAGATATGTGGGTTGGAAGAATCAGAGGGGTTGCATCAGCCAGCCTCGCCATTTCTGGGTAGCTCACCCAAAATGGAGCTGGAATTATAACCTGTAGATGCGATATGCACATAAGTGCTGTCCAATTTCAAAGGCATATACGCATTTAAATTTTATAAACAGACGGCCACGATTTTCCATATTACTTTCTCAAATACATATTTGCAAGTTACTTTTTTAAATGTAATGCCAGAAATAAAAGATGAAACACTAATAAGCTCCTGTTTGAGCCCCATTTTATAAAATCTCTTTTTTTTTTTTTTTTTTTTTTTTTAAACTCAATTTCAATCACATCCTTATATTTTTAAACTCAATTTCAATCACATCCTCTCAATAAATTAATTTTATATGTAAAATTTTTGTCAACTTTTTAACTACAAGTTCTCCAAAAATCACTATTACAAAACCTATTCTACATAAAAATGGGGCTCAAACACAACCTCAATGTTTAAGATGTTAATAAGTATACTGTATACCTCATCTCCTGGTGAACATACAGCAAGAACTGCCTGAAGAATACTCTGTTTTGCCCCATTACTCACCAAAATCTGTTCAGGCGTATAAGATATCCCATTCTCCTCTGTAATCAAAGAAAATTTATCAAGAAACCAAGGACAGAAGTAAGAATGTATACTAAAATAACTAGTGAAGCCGTTGAACAATATCATATTTGTACCTTTCAACTTGTGACAAATAGCTGAACGGAGTTCCAATGTACCCGCATTAGGAGTATACCTAGTGTATCCTTCACGAATTGCAACAATTCCAGCCTAAATTTGTAAGAAGATGCATAGAGTGATATGTTACTGCAAAAATGAAAAATTCTTTTGATTTTTAACCGAAAACAATCATCTGTTTATGAATATATCAGAATCACCTCAGCTATTGCGGCAGGAGTATCGAAGTCAGGTTCTCCAGCGGCTAATCGAATAACAGAGAAGCCAGCTTCTACAAGAGCTGTTGCCTGGTCAGTTATAGCCACTGTCTTTGATGGCTTTACGGAATTTACTCTAGGACTCAGTGTAATATCAACTTTCATTGTGTCTGAGCTGCTTTGAGTCTTAACAGATGCACTTATTCTTTCTTTTAGTTTTCTTGTTTTCACTGAAGATCTAACCAGAAATAGAAACAATGTTATAATTGCATTTCCTTGCAGTAGATAGCCCATAAAGTTTGTTTGTTAGTATACAATTTATAATATTGGAACTTTTATAAATTCCATACAGAACCATTGGAACTTTTATAAATTCCATACAGAACCAAACTTTTTGAAAAGTGGATGCAATTGGCTTTCATTAGTCTAGAAAATTATTGGACACAGTATTTGCTTTGTGATTAGTCTAGAAGAAGAACATATACCACATCATTGGAGATGACATGTACTTCACACTGATAAACCTTTTGCCCCCATAAATATTCCGATCTTTATAAAGTATTGAAATTTGTTGGGTAATTTTATAGAAAAGAATTACGAAGCAAAGTAATATTAATTGTTATCTAATCCAACTATTATTGTCTCATTCGCAAGTTTATATTTAAATTTATTCATTAGCATGTTTGACAAGATATTGACTTCAATAAGCATCAAAACTTTTATGGGCCTAAAGCAAATCAAACTATTTAATTGTTCCCTAAATATAATAACAAAATATTATGTCAAGAAACTGGCTTTTTGAGGTGTGCCCAGAATACAAAATGAATTCCTGTTCAACCTGAAATCCAAAATCCTATTTTCCTTCAAATGTTTCAGTATTTTGAGAATATTGAATGATCCTCAGCATACTTAACTGTACCATGATTAATTCACTACCTGGGATCCTTAAAAATCCCTTTACTTCACACAAAAAGATGTTAACCACTCCATCTAAAAGCTTATCTCACCGACGAGGTAGCAAATTTTTATATTAAATCACATATGTTAACATGTTCCTGACGTCCAGACCAGATTCATTTATTTGATAGCATGTATAACATGTGCACAACTTTCGTAAAACCACTCAATTCTCTGTTCCCCAAGTCGATTAAAAAGAAAGCCACTTCCCAAATCTTGGGAACATCAAAGCAAGAATCAATATATTAAAAATACAAAAGAACAAGGCAAAAAAAGAAGAGAAAAGAAACTAAAAGAGAAATAACTAATAAAAGAGATGATCTTACTTGGGGAAGACACGTTGAAGTCGAGAAGATAAGTCGAGGGATTTAAAACTTGGTGAATCTGAATGGGGTTTAAGCTGAATGTGCGTTGAAGCAATGCCTGATGAGGCCCGCAGAGAATAAGCAGCCATTTTTCTTGGAAATTTTCTGAGTTTGAAATTGGAGTGTTAAATAAATCTTGCAATGGAATTCGAAATTTCAACTTGAAAAGCTACAAAGTTTATATTAACCAGAGAATGGGAGATGGGGTTGGTGAGAGCCGAGGACAGTAATGGGGTTGGTGGAAATGGCTTCAGCAGGTGGGCGTGGGGGTTGGTAAAACCTCACTGACAGCGGACCTAAGATAACATAAGGGATGACATATCTCTCATATGGGATGCGGTGGTTTCCCACAATTAAATAATGTCGACCTCTTCATGTGTGTGTGTGGTATGTCAACCATTGTGTCGATCCTGTACGTGTATCATTATCCAAGAAATTACCGCTGATGGGGAAACCGTCGCTTAGGCTTTCACTTTCATAAAATTTTGCTTCAATTAGGTTAATATCAGCTGCAGTCATTTGTTAAAAATTCAAAAATGGATGTCGAATGGTTAAGAATATTTGAGTAGTTATGTAAATAATCATTATTCTTATGGTGATAATTATTCAAATTTCTAAAAATTAATGTTAAATTTAAGAGACGGTGCCTAAATGTCATCAAATGATATTTATTACGTCAAAATTTGAAATTAACATTTTTGAACCTCATTTTTTACTAGGAATATATTTTAGAATAGTAAATTGAAGGAGGGTGTGCAGTTAAAAAATAAGACAAAGTTTTGGGTTTTGATTTAATAATATATTATTAAAGAATGTATGACTAAAAAAATAGAGAAAATAATGTATTTTAAAAATGATGGAGATCAAACAAGAGAGAATTGAAAATTAAGCAAGCTCAGATAAAAAAATATAATGCTACTTTAATTTTGATCAGAATTTTGGGCTTCAATGGTATGATAGAGCCAAGCTTTTCTAACAACAAATTTTGCTGACTTAACCTAATAAATAACGTTTTTTGGTAACACATTAGCACTCAATGGGCCAGATAGAAATTAATCTTAGCTTCTGTTTGTTTCTCATTCTTTTTCTATTAGAATGAAAAATATGACCGTTATCCATCACATCAAGTCACCAAATTTGAATTTCTATCTCTTGTGTGGGGCCTATAACGACTACATTTTTCATTCTCATTTTTATCAAAATGAGAAACAAACGGGGCGTTAATTTTTCTTTTACTGAATGATCATTTATGAAACCCTAAAAAATTTGAGGGACTATTGTTATAAAGAAATAATTTGAGTGATCATTGGCGTTAACTCCTCAAAACTCCATTGACAATTAGCATAATTGACGTTGTTGAAGTATTTTCTTCACAATTGTGAAAACATTTCACACAAGTGCAAGGTGTTTTTTCAATTAAAATCTATAAAATTTTACAGTTATATCCGACGAGATGTATTAGTCAACATCGTCTATGTTCATGTTGACATTTAACGGCGTTATGTAAGATTTTTGTTCCAAGTTTTTAGCTTTAGTGATCATTAACGTGATCATAAAAATGTTAGTGATGACTGGGTGTTGCAAGAGAAATTGACCATTACGAAATTGTTAACAAACTCAGTGACTGTTGCTGGAATTAACTCTTCCTTCTATTTGTTTTCCTAGCATGTTTGGGTGTACTGTGTAGTAGGAGCGACAAAAAAATAATAATAATAATAATAAATAATGAAGAACAAACCCCAATCAAAACACAAAATTGAATCGAATTCATTAGTTTGAATCCACGCGGACTCGTCAATATTTTGTTAACAAATTGAAACAAACCATATAGAAACCAATTAATTACGTCAATAATCACCAAAGTATTGAATAATTAAGCCAAATTTTTTTAGGGTAATAATCACTCGAGTTTCTTATTGTTACACTAACGGTTACTCATTCAAAATTAATATTAAATCAAAAGTTTCACCATTAAGTGCCAACTTGTCACCAAATAATAGTTAATTATTATGTCAAATCAGCAAAATTGTGGGAGTTAAAGAATTTGGAATTAAGATGAGTAAAAGTAAGTGGATTTCAGGTTTTTTTTGGCGTAAATCGTATAGTAACCCACATTTTGTTTTCAACTACGATTTTCAATAACTTGGCTAAATAAATAATAATATTTGTTTCAAAATTTAAATCGGTTTCTTTGATTTGGTTTAGAACTTTCAAAATAAGGTAACAATTGTCCAAATCAAACCATGTTCACAATTAGTCCACGATCAAGAAAAAGAGTTCGAAAAAAGATTAATTTGCACTTTTCTCAATTTGTCAAGAGATATTGGTATAGACATGACTCAACGTCAGATCATTGTTAGGTGGATTATTAAGTTGTTTAGAGAAGTGACTTTCGAGTCATTGACCCCATATTTGGATTTACGCATCACCCCGTTTTCACATCAAGGTTTATTTTGAAAAATATAGAATAAATCGACAAGAAATTTGTTGAAGCATCTCTTTACACCAAATTTTACCATTCAAATCCGAAATATAAAATGAAATCAGAAACACGTAAAACAATATTAATAGAAGCCCCATCAATGAAAGAGCTCCGTTCACTGGTCATTGCTATTTTTTACTAAAACGAAGATGAGTTGCAATGTTTGATGATACTACACGTACATCAGAGTGCCCATAACGGTGTCCACCACCCCTCATAGGGAGGGGGAGTCTCCCTCCATGCGAGGGGGATGGACACCATTAATTCTTTCTAAATCATAGAAATATTATATCAATTTCCAATGGAGGGGATAGAATTAAACTCCACATCACGAGTAGCAACTTACTATAGTTTTGGAACCAGAACTCCATACATTTAGAATAAGCTGACGCATATGGGAACAAAGGTGAACGATTAGGAATCTATCTTGAGTTGCTGTAGGTAAACTTTTCGCCTAGGGGTTATTTCTTCGGGAAAATCTTCTTTTTAAGTCAAGTGAATTGGGACTACCTCCTCACTCAAAAGACTACATTCTATGGAAGATGGATTTTCAACTTGCAAGTCAAGTCACCACAATGATTTTGCAAACTGAGAACAAGGGCATCCAAAATCATTAGAACCTCAAGCACAAAATCTATTCACCCCAGTGAATCACTGGTTAAAGGAAATTATACATTCCACATGTAAACACCAGAGAACATTATTGCATTGTTCTGGTTCGACTCATAAAATCACGAGGGACCATCTTTGTCGATCCTCCCTCCACTACAATTATCAGCATAACAGAACTATTGTATCATTTCTCAGAATCAGGACGAAGCACCCACTAAATTGTAAAACTGTCAAATATTGAGGCAGAATCAGCAGAAATTTTGAATGCATAGTGATAAAACACAACGAAAGGAGCACAGTCACTTTCTAGCAGAATGAAATGGTGTGAGAGACAAAATTGAATAATTTTCCACCTAAAATAAAAAGATGTAACTATCAGATATCTTCTTTATTATTTGATTTCTCAGAAGAAACAAGACATGGATAGAGACTTGCCTGACCGCCAACATATAAAGTGAAAACAGAGTCCAACCCTACTGAAAATATTTTGCTATACAGCATTTAAACTCAAAGTATCCAAGCATCCAAAAGGTTTTATCAAGAAGATGCAAGCTTAGAGTCGCAATTACATACTTAAAAAGTTTGCAAACGTAAATAAACTTATGTAACCTAGTCTTCAATTTCTATGTGCATAAAGAAAGGGATATATAACATGTCATGTCCATCAACTTAAACAAGAAGCTATGCTGATGTGCAATTATAAACTTGAGATTAATATATACATTTATACACAGAAGCATGATTTCCCACAGTTCATTTCAAGTACCGACCTTAAAATAGTCATGAAGAAGCTACCCATCCATATTTGATCTATGAGAAATAGTGCAAAAGTTGGGGCAATGACCACATTGTGAAATCTAAAAAAATGAGATTTCCTCTACAAATCTAAAACATGGATTAACCCACTCATGACAAAATAAAATAAGTAATTGACGAAAAAAGAAAAATTTTAGGCTACAGAAAATAATCATTCTGGTTGGAAACCGATCAAAAAAGAGTTAGATTGTGTTGGAAAACCGATCAAAAAGAGTTAGATTGTGTCATAACAAATGTAGAAATAAGAAAGAACCTTCATCTCAAATCTTAAACACATCACACCCGAAATCCAATTATAGCAAAAGAACGGGTATATGAAGAATTAACAATATCAGCAGAAACTCGTCATCGCTCATTTAAGAAATATCCTTTTTCAAATATGAAATTAACATAAGGGACTCCTTAAGTGCTAAATTCATAACACATGCATACTACTCAATACATCAGAAATATCTCGTTCAGTGCCATGATCCCAACAGTAATCCGAACTTTTCCCAATGGCATACTGTTTTTACAGGTTTTTCCAGCTTTCTATTTGGAATTTTATTTAAATATGTAATAAAATTTACTACTACTTCCCATTGACAAGTGAATATCAACCTATGATTTGTAATCGCATGAACGTTTTCCATGTACTAACATTTAGTGAAACGTCAAACTTAAAATATGTATTGGTACAATAGAAGTTCAAGCCTAGAAAAATCTTGAGTTAAACATGCATCCCGAAATGCTCCTGTTATATTAGTTGGGTTGCCTCACCATTTCTTGCTGCCCAAATTGAGACTTGTGAGCTTGGTCTGTTGGAATTAATTTCAGGTTATAAAACACGTTTTAGAGAAACACGCTTTTGCCTCTTAAATGGTTGAGGTTCAGCCGTACACGTGGTTTCACCCTCACCCTTGGATGGTTGACTGATCAGATACTTACTTGGTTTTGGCCTTGATTCTAGACTATTCGAAGTCTTTCAACCTTTCGCTTCTCTCCTTTTCTCTGAGTGATAGATTAGGGTTCTTGGGTTACTATAATTCGATATGTTCTTGGTGATTTCTCAATCTGTAATCTTAGTTATGGTTTCTGATTGTGTTGTATAGTTTGTTAGCGATTAAGAGTGAGTTGGATTACAATTTTTTGAATAGAGGCGAAAGGAAACTCGAAGAAACCTTTGATTTCTTCGTACATATTGTACTGTTCTTAGTTGATACTTAGTGGATTTGAGCTTTATTACCTTTTGGTGATACTTAATAGGTGATTAGGTTGCAAGACTGAACATCTGGGCCCTTTTTAGGGCAAAAACATATCTTTGTATTCGAATATTTTTAATTTTCTGCAAATTATTTTTACTGCAAAGCGATTCAGTTTCTTAAAACTTAACGTTTTTTGACTTAACAAGTGGTATCAGAGCCACTATTTGCTGAAAAGAAATTTTTCGAACAGTATCTTCAAAAGTATTCTTGGGGACCTCAGATATGGTGTTTCTGGAAAACCGGTTTTGGTTCTTGAAAGCTGAAATTTTAATTTCTTTATGACTCGTTCTAACTCTGTTTGATCTGTTTTTTTTTTTTTTTGTTCAGGGTTGTGCGAGTTGAGTTGACTTGGTCCAGGTTGTGGTGAGTTCCTGATTCACTATTGAGTTCACACAGAGTTCTAGTGACTCATTGGCTTCTTGAACCTGTATTGCCCTTCTTGTTCCGGTTCTGACACTTCCTTACTGTTTTCTTTATTCTGAAACATTAAGTTTTCAGACTCTGGTATTTTCTGGAACCCCCCTTTATTAAACTGTAATTGTAATATGTTTAGTATTTGGTCATTAAGGTAAGTAATCTTTCACTGCTTACCTTTGTCCAAGATCTCCTACGAGGATCTGGGAATCTGAGGAAGTAGTGAGCTGCAAGGATTATCACTCCTTAGATCACTCTTAGACTATCTTTCAGTTTTTGAATTGAATTGTGTATTGCATGATAAGTAGATACAATTATATTTTCTGCCTTATTCATTCTGTCACATTTTGTCAATTCAATAAAATACCTGAATCAATATACTCTGTGCTGTATAAATTGTGTGTACATATCTGTCATCATGTCCACATCTCAAAAATTTGAAGTTGAGAGATGGAATGGTACTGGAGACTTCAGTCTCTGGCGTAAAAAACTGAGGGCATTATTGCTACAACAGAGGTGTGCTGCAGCCATTGATGGTAATTGACCTGCAAAAACTAGTGCCTATAGGAGACAGGAATTAGATGACACTGCATGGAGTACAATTTTCTTGCACTTATCTGATAGTGTAATTAGGAAAGTTGGAGAAACTACATCTGCTCAGGCTCTTTGGACTAAGTTAGGAACACTATATCTAACTAGAACCATGCCTAATAAATGCTACCTTCTAAAGCAATTCTATAATTTTAGATTTGATCCCACCTCAAATCTGGAAGATAACCTTGACAGATTCACAAAGCTGATTCACGACCTGACTAACCGTGATGAAGAAATTTCTAATGATCAACAAGCTGTGGCATTGTCAAGGGGGGCAAGAACTTACCATTGATAGAATAACCTCAACCCTGAGAAACAGAGAACTTGAAATAAAATTTGAGTCTAAAGACTCTAAGTATGGTGAGGGGTTATTCATAAAAGAGAAACAGAACCAAAATAAGAAACAATATCCCTTAAATCAAAATTTAAATAAGAAAGGGAAATTTCAACTCTCTAAATTTAAGGAAAAGAATAAGAATCAATGGAAAACTAAAAACCAGATCATGAAATATTATTACTGTGGTAAAACTGGCCATGTAATAAAAGATTGCTTCAAGAAAATCTCAGATATGAAAGAAAAGACTAATACTGAAGGATCTACAGCTGTAGCCTGCAGAGATGAATCTGATATTCAAGGGGTTGTTTTGGTAACAACCACTAGAAAAGACCCAAATGAATGGGTCCTTGACTCTAGTTGCACCTTTCACATGTGACCCACAAAAAAAATATTTTTCTAAATTTGTTGACCTAAATAGAGGACAAATTCAGATGAAAAATGACATGAGTTGTCAAATCAAGGGGATTGAGAAGGTCAAACTCTCATTAAATAACAATTGTACCCTAGAAATTGAGAACACCAGATATGTCCCTGAGTTAAAAAGAAATCTTATTTCCTTGGGTGAGCTTGATGATAAATACAGTATTATGATTCATAAAGGGTTTTTAACTCTTATGTAAGGAAATAAAACTATCATATCCTCTCAAAGATAAATGGCATATATACTGTATGTGCTAAATCTGTGATAGATCACTGTTCTACAACCTTAAACTCTGATTCCAATAAGTCTTTAATTTGGCATAAAAAACTTGGCCACATCTCAAAAAAGGAACTGATAATTTTAAATAAACTTGGATGTTTTGGTAAGGACAATGTTAAGGTTTGGATTTTTGTGAAAATTGTGTATTTGGAAAACAGAAAAAATTGCCTTTCAAAACTGGTATTCATAAATCTACTTCTATATTAGAATATGATCTTTGGGACCAGCATCTGTAAATACTTTGAGTGGATTTAGATTTTATCTACTTATAATAGATGATTTTTCAAGAAAAACTTTGACTTTTCTTCTAAAACAAAAATCCGATACTTTCCAAACCTTTAAACATTGGAAGTTGATGATCGAAAACCAAACAAATAAAAAAATCAAGGCTTTAAGGACTGATAATGGTCTTGAGTTTTGCAACTCTGAATTTGACTTGTTTTGTAAAAATTATGGAATCTTAAGACACAGAACTGTAACATAAACTCCTCAGCAAAATAGTGTTGCTGAGAGAATGAATAGATACTTATTGGAAAAAGTGAGATGTATGTTGTAAAGTTCTGGTCTTCCTAAGTTCTTTTGGGGAGAGGCCCTAAAAACAGCAACTTATCTAATAAATAGAAGTCCGTCAAGTGCTATTGATTTTCAAGTCCCTGAAAAGATATGATCGGGAAAAATTCCTGATTATAGTAAACTGAAAGTTTTTTGCTACATTGCCTATTCACATCAGAGT